TGCACTGGCTTCCTGTGAGCTACTCAATATATGACATTGACAATGGCTTCAAAGGTATGAAAACTCAGGACTCTTTAACTAAAAAATGTTCCTTCCCTTAAAAATCAAGATAGTCCTTTCCCAAAGTATGCTAATGGAAAACACTGTTTTCTTGCTATTGTTCTGGCATTTGTCACCTGTGATTTCAGAGAGTTATATACATAGTGGTGTCAGCATTGTGCTACTTCATTGTTGGATTTCATTGTTTTAACTAGTGCCTGGTACATTATTTTGCATTTTACTGATTTTTTTAATAATGTGGTTTATTGTGCTCAGAGAGCAATAGCATACATAATCTTATGGAGCTCTTCAGGATTTCCCAGGAAATCTTCCTGAGAGAGTTCCTAGTAGATAGAGAATCAACCTCTCTCTTCAACCACTATAAAGGTTACAGAGCAAAAGTACATGATCCACCTCCACTTTGGAGTTTTGTTGAGTCATCCACTTAATATATTAACATGAGCAATGATCAATGCTTATCTCTTCTTGGAGTCAATCAATGCGTACAAGTATAAAGCTGTGATGATGCCATAATAATAAAAATAAATATCTACAGAAACCAAAAGCAAAATTATATCTGTTTTTCTATGGAATTTGGTACATTTGGGATATATATTGAGTGTGTGTGTGTGTGTGTGTGTTTATATACATTTTTTTTGGAATATAATGAGTTCTTTTTTCCACTTGGAAAAAGCCTTTTCATTTAGAAATGGTTAATTTCAATTGTTCAGTGTTGTACATGTACTGTATGAATGATTTTTAATAAAAAGTCTCTTATCAATTACTTCATGGAATCTACAAATTCATCTTGAAGACGACACAGGGTACTAGAAGCAAAAAACATTGTGAAATAGTTGAGGGCTCTACATTCTTTATCTCTCACCCACAAAGCAGCTAATGAATAGAAGGAGAAGTTTAAAACAGCCTTTTCCCTTGATTTTTAAATAGTTTTAAGAAAGAAAAGTAGCATAGATATGCAACATTATCTGGAGGAAAACACATTTAATATTACTAACACTAATAGGACAAAACTTTTTTTTTCTGAATCATGCTTCTAACCAGTTTGAAAGAGTAGTGGCAGAGAATATCTCAAGTAAGCCCATCTTTAAGAATACAGATGTGTTGTTTCTAAACTTGATTATATAATAATAATAATAATAATTTATTATTTATATCCCGCCCATCTGGCTGTGTTTCCCCAGCCACTCTGGGCAGCTTCCAATCAAGGGTTAAAACAGTACAGCATTAAATATTATAAACCTCAGTAAACAGGGCTGCCTTCAGATGCCTTTTAAAGAGAAGATAGCTGCTTATTTCCTTCACATCTGAAGGGAGGGCGTTCCACAGGGCAGGCGCCACTACCAAGAAGGCCCTCTGTCTGGTTCCCTGTAACCCTGATTCTAAACTTTATTTATGCTATTTCTTTTATAATAATTTTTATTAATTTTCAATTACCAGCCAATAATAACCTCATTATATCAATACCAAATTATAGTACTAATACTAATTATTCAAATACTGAATCATATAATTTAGGTGCCCCCTAGAAGTGCTGGTTTGATGATTTCCTTTACAGTGGTGCCTCGCAAGATGAAATTAATTCGTTCCACAAGTTTTTTCTTCTTGCGAGTTTTTTGTCTTGCAATGCACGGTTTCCCATACGAATGCATTGAAAATCAATTAATGCGTTCCTATGGAAACCGCCTTCAGACCAGGTCCGGGGACAGTCTGTCCCCCGACCTCTTCTGAAGGCTGGGGGGGGGGACAAGGGCTTTTCTTCCCACCCCCAGCATTTTAAAAAACCCCGGGACAGCGGAGGACTTCTCCGCTGTCCGGGGCGATCTTACAATGCTGGCGGGCGGCATTTTAAAATCGCCCGGGACAGCGGAGGACTTCTCCGCTGTCCGGGGCGATGTAAAAGCCCCTGGGAAGGCAGGCAGCGGGGACAAAGACTTTCGCCCCCTGCCCGCCTTCAGAAGAGGTCCTGGACCTCTTCTGAAGGCGGGCGGGGGGCAAAAGTCTTTGCACACACACCCCGCCTGCCTTCAAAAGCCGTCCGGGACAGCGGAGAAATGCACAGCCTTTCTCCGCTCTCCCGGGAAGGCAGGCAGGGGGGAGCAAAGACTTTCGCCCCCCCCCGTCTGCCTTCAGAAGAGGTCCAGGACCTCTTCTGAAGGCGGGCGGGGGGCGAAAGTCTTTGCTCCCCCCCCCCCGCCTGCCTTCAAAAGCCGTCCGCGATAGCGGGAAGCGCTTCCCTGCTATCCCGGACTGCTTTTAAATTGCTGGCGGTGGGGAGCAAAGCCTTTCGGCCCCCGCCGGCCTTCCTGGACCTCTTCTGAAGGCCAGAGGGGGGGAAAGGCTTTGCTCCCCACCACCAGCATTTAAAAGAGGTCCCCGGAGATTTCCCTATGGGCTTTCTTCTTGCGAAGCAAGCCCATAGGGAAATTCGTCTTGCGAAGCGCCTCCAAAACAGAAAACCCTTTCGTCTTGCGGGTTTTCCGTCTTGCGCGGCATTCGTCTTGCGAGGTACCACTGTATTTCTGCATTCCAGAATCATTTTAATTTCTATTATATTCCAGTCAAAATAATAATCCCTTATACAACAACTGCAATATTAATAACTTCTATTTGTGTTGACACATTAAATGATTCATAGAACTACAAATGAGACACTCAAACTATATCCTTGCTCTTCCTGTGTGTGGCAGTTATTCTGTCCGTGGTGTTTCTTCCAGTCCTTGTAAAATGTTGTTTCTGTTGTGACAGAAACATTGGTCCCAAGTATTTCTTTTTACTTTTTTCTCCTGCCAGCAAATGGTTAAAGAGCGGCAGCCTCTGATTGGCTGTGGTTCCAGGGAGAGTTTAAAAGGAGCTGATTTCAAGGGAGATGGAGTAGAGTGTGGTTAAGAGGGGGGTTGAGTTGAGGTGGTTGAGGAGGGAGGCTGGAGAGGTTGGGAGTTAGGTAGGGAGATAGGATAGGAGTGTGGAGGAGGGAGAGTTGGTTCTGGAATAAAACATCCACTCCAGTGTCCTGCAGGAGTAAAAGGACCAAATCTTGCTGGGAGACTGGGTGTGAGGCAAGGGAAGGAGGAGCTGAAAGAGATGAGTCTACTTAGGTCTCCAACTAATCTGAAGGGGAGATACCCTTCTGAGGAAAGAAGAGATGCCCAAAACCCAGTGAAGGATGGTGGGGGGTGAGCCCTTAAGACTATTACTTAAAGTACCTCAGGAGATGGATTAGTTAAAGGGATGGGTAACTGAAGGAAAGTACCGCCTTAGAAAGGGACTGAACTATAAAGCCCAAACCTCTGGAAGTGAATTAAAGGGAACTAGCATATTATTACTGAAGTAACCTCAGTTTCTCCACTTATATTATACTACCTTGTTTTAAAAATAAATCTTTATTGTTTATGTAAAGAACACCTGCTTCAACTTCTTGGTTATTCCCATCACAAAGAACCGCCCCAGGATATTCTAGGATAGTTAGGTTTTGTTTTTAAGCCTTCAGGTAAAAGGTTGTTCGGTGTGGTGGGAACAATATATTAAAGTGAGAGCAGGCACATGGGCGTGAGCAACAACAGCAGTTGTTGCTGTTCTCCATCATGCCTTGTGTGGATCTGATATCCCATTGGTCTATTGATGCTGTAATTCAGTGCCCCCACTTCTTGATAAGGCAAGGATGCTATGCCGAATTGCTGCCACCATTCAGTTAATGTGATGGCAAACTATGTCTGATCAGTGTTACATAGGTGGGAGAGTGAAGGATACCCCAGTACTAACAAATTATGAAGTGGGGAAAGGATGGGGACAGCTCAACTCTAGACATCCTGCTGACCTTGTAGGTTCATTCCTTGCCTATGATTTTGTGATGTTACAAATATAATTACATTGACAGATCCAGCTTCTTGTCTACCAGCTGTGGCAATAGATGCTTTTGGATTCACTATCTGCAGTCCGGATTCAGAGCGTTCCTCCTAGGGTGGAAAAAAATGGTGAACACTGCTTTTTTACTGGAAGCCGAATCACAGGACAAAGCGATGCAGTGACTTTTGGAAACTGTGGGGTAACTGCTTTTCCCAGGGCATGATGGGAACCATCAACAGTTGCAGGAATGAAAGATACAGCACCATATATGGACGGGAAAACATCATGAGGGGAACTTGTCACACGCAGGAAAGAATAAGGACTACACTTAGAGTTCCTCACTTGAAACTTTATAAATTACCTAATATACCAACACAAACAGAAATCACAAGACTGTAGCTGTTATCTAAGAGATTATTATATGTACATGGAATACAATGGAAATTATTAACATAGTGGAACACAGAAATAATGAAGAATGAAGCCATCAAATCTAGCATGCAAGGGGGCCAGTTTAATTAAATCATATAATTTGACATTTGAATAATTGGCATTCATAATTGCATTAATTAAATAAAATTGGTATTCTTATAATGAGGTCGCTACTGGGACAATATTGGTAAAGCAATAAAAAATATATTTTAAATATAATAATAGTAATATTTTGGAAGTTCCCCTGCTGCTGATGTGCCATAGAATCCAAAAACAATGCACAAGTGATTCTCTACCCTATCATTACTCAAATTACAATAATCAATCCACCTGACTGAACCCCCAGATGTCACAGTGAAAAAAAAGAAACAACAAGCAGGCCTGAAATGATTATAATCTCCTCTGTGCTGCATAGACAACAAGGCTGGCCTCTGTAACTTATCAGTTATCAGTTTCCCTCTTTCATATCAACCACTGCATCTTATTTGGCATCCAAGGCATTCTGTTGTGACCGTGTTCAAGTTAACAATAAGGTGGATACATGTCCATTAAAGTGCCAAATTGACATAGTCAGCTGCCACCCAATTTGTCTTGTTCAGAGGAGAGGAATAATACTGTCGAGAGAAGCAGGGGAGTCCATGCAGACAAGTGTATTTGCCATCAGGATGTTCCTCCTGCTGCTTCTGCTGCTCCCCAATATAGTGTCCCAAGGACAAAGTGCTAAATGCACAACAAATAATCCTGTTCATGTTCCACACGAGTGGTATGAGCCAGGTGACCTGGTCATTGGTGCAATGGCATCTCATATTGTTTACATAGTCCCCAAATTATGCTTCAAGAAACACCCTTCCCAGGACTTCATTGAGGCCCCACTGTAAGTAACCATTAATTAACATTATTTTAATTATTCCTTATATGCTATATCGGACAGACAATAACTTTGATTGATTTGAAGGGGGATGGCTTTAGAACTTTATTTTTTAAATGTATGGAGAGTTTTTATTAGAAATCTCTGTACATATAGGCTATGTGCATACTGTCAATGAACAATAAACTCTTTTGAATCTAATTGTGGTAAGAGAGATAGAAAAGAGAGTAGGAGAATGAAAAAAGAGATGGCATAAAAAATAGGAAAAGCATATAGCCAAGTAGTATGGTACTTAACTTTTTTGATGATACCCAAATTTTCAAGGTGGCAAAAACAAATATGGTTTGCTGAAGATATAAAGAAATATGCAAGAGCTTTTAAAATTACACGGTATTCTTAGATTGCCCGAATAAGTAAATAAACTTTTCATCCTCTCTGTATAAGCAGTCAGGTGTTATTGTTTAGTCGTTTAGTCGTGTCTGACTCTTCGTGACCCCATGGACCAGAGCACGCCAGGCACTTCTGTCTTCCACTGCCTCCCGCAGTTTGGTCAAACTCATGCTAGTAGCTTTGAGAACTCGTCCTCTGTCGTCCGCTTCTCCTTGTGCTCTGCATCAGGGTCTTTTCCAGGGAGTCTTCTCTTCTCATGAGGTGGCCAAAGTATTGGAGCCTCAGCTTCACGATCTGTCCTTCCAGTGAGCACTCAGGGCTGATTTCCTTAAGAATGGAAAGGTTTGATCTTCTTGCCATCCATGGGACTCTCAAGAGTCTCTTCCAGCACCATAATTCAAAAGCATCAATTCTTCAGCGATCAACCTTCTTTATGGTCCAGCTTTCACTTCCATACATCACTACTGGGAAAACCATAGCTTTTACTATACCGACCTTTGTTGGCAAGGTGATGTCTCTAGTTTTTAAGATGCTGTCTAGGATTGTCATTGCTTTTCTCCCAAGAAGCAGGGGTCTTTTAATTTCGTGGCTGCTGTCACCAACTGCAGTGATCATGGAGCCCAAGAAAGTAAAATCTCTCACTGCCTCCATTTCTTCCCCTTCTATTTGCCAGGAGGTGATGGGACCAGTTGCCATGATCTTCGTTTTTTTGATGTTAAGCTCTCCTCTTTCACCCTCATTAAAAGGTCATTTAATTCCTCCTCACTTTCCGCCATCAAGGTTGTGTCATCTGCATATCTGAGATTGTTGATATTTCTTCCGGCAATCTTAATTCCAGCTAGGGATTCATCCAGCCCAGCCTTTCACATGATGAATTCTGCATATAAGTTAAATAATCAGGGAAACAATATACAACCCTGTCGTACTCCTTTCCCAATTTTGAACCAATCAGTTGTTCCATATCCAGTTCTAACTGTAGCTTCTTGTCCCACATAGAGATTTCTCAGGAGACAGATGAGGTGATCAGGCACTCCCATTTCTTTAAGAACTTGCCATAGTTTGCTGTGGTCGACACAGTCAAAGCCTTTTGCGTAGTCAATGAAGCAGAAGTAGATGTCTTTCTGGTACTCTCTAGCTTTCTCCATAATCCAGCGCATGTTTGCAATTTGGTCTCTGGTTCCTCTGCCTCTTCTAAATCCAGCTTGCACTTCTGGGAGTTATCGGTCCACATACTGCTTGAGCCTTCCTTTTAGAATTTTAAGCATAACCTTGATAGCGTGTGAAGTGAGTGCAATTGTGCAGTAGTTGGAACATTCTTTGGCACTGCCCTTCTTTGGGATTGGGATATAGACTGATCTTCTCCAGTCCTCTGGCTACTGCTGAGTTTTCCAAACTTGCTGGCATATTGAGGGTAGCACCTTAACAGCATCATCTTTTAAAATTGTGAATAGTTCAGCTGGAATATCATCACTTCCACTGGCCTTGTTATTAGCAGTGCTTTCTAAGGCCCATTTGACCTCAATCTCCAGGATGTCTGGCTCAAGGTCAGCAACCACATTACCTGGGGTGTACGAGCCATCCATATCTTTCTGGTATAATTCTTCTGTGTATTCTTGCCACCTCTTCTTGATGTCTTCTGCTTCTGTTAGGTCCTTACCACTTTTGTCCTTTATTATGGTAATCTTTGTACGAAATGTTCCTTTCATACAGTGGTACCTCGCAAGACGAATGCCTCGCAAGACAAAAAACTCGCTAGACGAAAGGTTTTTCCGTTTTCGATTTGCCTTGCAAGACGAATTTCCCTATGGGCTTGTTTCGCAAGACGAAAACGTCTCACGACTTTGTTTCCTTTGTCTAAAAACAAAGACATGTTTTGTTTATAAAGTTAATTTATTTTCCCTTCAGTTTTTGAACTGCTCTTTACAGTATGTGTGACTTTAAAGAGCAGTTAATAAACTGTTGTTGTACCAAATTTGGCTTTGTTTGGACTTTTTTTGACCATAGGAACGCATTAATTGATTTTCAATGCATTCCTATGGGATTTCGTGATTCGCAAGACGAAAAATTCGCTAGACGACAAAACTTGCGGAACGAATTAATTTCATCTTGCGGGGCACCACTGTATCTCCAATTTTCTGGTTCGTTCCATTCTTGTTCTTCCCATTCTGTTGTTTTCCTCTGTTTCTTTGCATTGCTCATTTAAGAAGGCCTTCTTGTCTCTCCTTGCTATTTTTTGGAAATCTGCATTCAATTTCCTGTATCTTTCACTATCTCCCTCGCATTTTGCTTGCCTTCTCTCCCCCGCTATTTGTAAGGCCTTGTTGGACAGCCACTTTGCTGTCATGCATTTCCTTTTCATTGGGATGGTTTTCGTTGCTGCCTCCTGTATAGTGTTGCGAGCCTCCATCCATAGTTCTTCAGGCACTCTGTCCACCAAATCTAAATCCTTAAACCTGTTCCTCACTTCCACTGTGTATTCATAAGGGATTTGACTTAGATTGTATCTTACCGGCCCTGTAGTTTTTCCTACTTTCTTCAGTTTAAGCTTGAATTTTGCTATAAGAAGCTGATGATCTGAGCCACAGGTCTTGTTTTTGCTGACTGTATAGAGCTTCTCCATCTTTGGCTGCAGAAAATATAATCAATCTGATTTCGATGCTGCCTGTCTGGTGATGTCCATGTGTAGAGTCGTCTCTTGTGTTGTTGGAAAAGCGTGTTTGTGATGACCAGCTTGTTCTCTTGACAGAATGCTATTAGCCTTTGCCCTGCTTCATTTTGATCTCCAAGGCCAAACTTGCCAGTTGTTCCTTTTATCTCTTGATTTCCTACTTTAGCATTCCAATCCCCTATAATGAGAAGAACATCCTTCTTTGGTGTCATTTCTATAAGGTGTTGTAAGTCTTCATAGAATTGGTCAAATTCAGTTATTTCAGCACCAGTAGTTGGTGCATAAACTTGGATTACTGTGGTGTTAAAAGGTCTGCCTTGGATTCGTATCGAGAGCATTCTATCATTTTTGAGATTGCATCCCAGTACAGCTTTCGCCACTCTTTTCTTGACTATGAGGGCCACTCCATTTCTTTTACGGGTTTCTTGCCCACAGTAGTAGATATGATGGTCATCCGAACTGAATTCGCCCATTCCCGTCCATTTTAGTTCACTGATGCCCAGGATGTCAATATTTATTCTTGCCATCTCATTTTTGACCACAGCCAACTTATCCTGGTTCATGGTTCTTACATTCCAGGTTTCTATGCAATATTTTTCTTTACAGCATTGGACTTTCCTTTCGCTTCCAGGCATATCCGCAACTGAGTGTCCTTTCAGCTTTGGCCCAGCCGCTTCATCAGCTCTTCATGAATCTACTTGTACTTGTCCTCCGCTCTTCCTCAGTAGCATGTTGGACTCCTTCTGACCTGAGGGGCTCATCCTCCAGCATCATAACTTTTATATGTCTGTTGTCTTTGTCCATGGAGTTTTCTTGGCAGGGATACTGGAGGAGCTTGCTGGTTCCTCCTCCAGGTGGATCACGTTTGGTCAAAACTCTCCACTATAACCTGTCTATCATGGGTGCCCTGCTCGGCATAGTTCATAGCTTCTCTGAGTTATTCAGGCCCCTTCGACACAGCAAGGCAGTGATCCATGAAGGGGAAGCAGGCAGGTGTATCTCTCCTATCTAGATTCTGTGCATTGTTTAATTTTCCCATCAAACAAAATCTCACTTTATTTGCAGGGTGCTGACAAAGTACTACCAGCAAATCCTGGCCTTGGTGTTTGCTGTTGATGAGATCAACAAGAATCCCAGGATGTTGCCCAATGTCTCTCTCGGCTTCCACATCTATGATAGCTATTATGATTCAAAGATGACCTACCGAAACACTCTGGACCTGCTCTTTAAATCACTTCACTTTGTTCCCAACTACAGGTGTGGCATCCAGAAAAATGTCATAGGAGTCATTGGGGGACTCAGCTCTGATACCTCCTGGTGCATGGCAAACGTCTTAGGTCTTTTCAAGATTCCACAGGTAGAATATGGATTTTGAAAAACAGAGATGTCATGCTTTCCTTGCATTAGGAATCTACTGATTCATATATCTGGAGTGGAAAAATGGTCAAAGTAAAAGGGCCATAATAAGCATATCCAACAATGTTTATAAGAAGGGCAATTTGTGTGTAATAGATATAATAGGAGATTTCTGTAAAGCTGCAAGGTTTGTAAAGGAGAAACCTAGATGGGTTCATATACATCAATCCTGAATGAACTGCACTGGCTGACTGTGAGCTACTGAATATAGGACATTGACATTGGCTTCATAGGCAAAAATAGCTGAGAACACATTAACTAAAAATATTCCTCCCCTTAAAAGTCAAGACAGTCCTTTCCCAAAGTATGATGTTAATCAACATTGTTCACTTTCAGAGGCTAATTGAAAAAGTGTTTTCCTGGTTTGTTCTGGCATTTGTCACTTCAGAGCCTTATATAGTGGTGTTGGAATTGTGCTATTCTGCTACATTGTTGTATTTCATTTTAGTTGTTTTAAATAGTGCTGGTACAGTATTTTACTGATATTTTATATGATTTGGTTTATGATGCTCAGAGATGAAAAGTATACACAATCTAATGGAGCTCTTCAGGATTTCCCAGGAAATTCTTCCTGAGAGAGTTCTTAGTAGATAGAGAATCAACCACCCCCTACAATCATTACAAAGGTTACAGATCAAAAGTACATAATGAACAATTTCTATTACTCCACTTACACCTTGGAGTTTTGCTTAATCATCCACTTTCAGTTCCAACATACCAAGTCTACATAGATGTTAATACTTCTTCCATTCAAATCCTTTTTAGCACCTCAGTGGCTGAATTTACTAGCAGAGTAGTTTCTCCCACTTCGCTCAGATCATGTCCAAAACTTAAACCCAATTTTTCGTCTAAAGAACTGGAAGCTTGCTGCTAAATGGTGGTGACTTTGGAGAGTTGCCAAGAAACATTCCGGGCTTTCCATCCAGTGTCCCCCAGTGCCCCCCTTCCTTCTGAATTTGGGGCCAAGATTTGGGCAATCTGCGGATGAACTGCCACTCCCCAGCCTGGGGAATGTAGGGTGGCTGGTTACTCCCATCTCAGCCTCTGATTCCAGAACGTACAGCGGTGATGGGATTCAGCAATCCTCCATCACAGCTTGCCGGAAGATCCTCCCCCAAATGCTCCCCTATTCTTCGATACAATCAATATGTACAAGAATGAAGCTGTAATGATGCCATAATAATAATAAATATCAACGAAAAACATTGAGCAAGGTTATCTGTGTTTTCCTATATAAGCTGGGGTTGCTGCTGTCCCTATACTTGGGATATAGATTCAATATATATTCAATACTTTAGTGTGCGTGCGGGCACATGTTTATATTTGAGTAAATTGGAATATCATGAGTTCTTGTTTCCACTTGGAAACGTTTGACTTTTGCTTTTTCCAGATTTCATACGGTTCATTTGAACCAGCCATAAATTATGGAACCAAGTTCTCTTCCTTTTACCGCATGGTCCCCAATGAAGATCTTCAGTTTCAGGGAATTATCCAGTTACTTCTGCATTTCAGATGGAAATGGGTTGGGCTCATGACTCCAGCTAATGAAGCTGGGGAACGTTTCTTGCAGAACATTGAGCCAATGCTTTTCAAGAATGGAATCTGTTCAGCATTCACAGAAAGAGTTAAACCCAATATAAATTATAACAGTAACTTAATAGAAATGGTGGACATAAAGATTTTGGTACCAAGTTTCACAACCAGCAAAGCTAATGCAATTCTTCTACATGGAGGAAGTAGATTTAGTATATGGTTGTCATTTGCTTTAATCATAATGGAGTTAATTCAGCTACTATTTCCTCAAAAGAAGTCACATGAAGGAAAAGTATGGATTACAACTACCCAAATTGATTTCATATTATATAGCCTTCAAAAAAAATTTAATGTTAATATACGAATGCTCCATGGTGCAATATCCTTTGCAATTCACTCCAAAGAGATTCACAACTTTAAAGACTTTCTTTGGCGTATATATCCTCATTGGACAGACGCAGATGGTTTTATCCAAGATTTCTGGGAAGATGCATTCAGTTGTTCACTTCAAAATTTCACTCTCTCAACATCCAACGATCACATGTGTACTGGAGAGGAGATGCTGGAGAGCCTTCCTGCACCATTTTTTGAAATGAGCATGACTGGCCACAGCTACAGTGTTTATAATGCTGTCTATGCTTTGGCACATGCCTTACATAGCATGCACTTTGCTGGAGCCATCCGCAACAGAAGAGGTGCTAAGGGAAAATTCTCTCCTCAGTATGCAGATCCTTGGCAGGTATTGTTCTCTGTTACAAAGCATTCACTGCATTGGTACATTATGTGAGTTGGCATTTAATCATCAGTAAAGAAATAAAAGCATAAAACTTAAGAAATTAAAAATAAACCTAAATTTACTGTATGAAAGATGGGAATTAGAATATTTCCTATAATGATACTAAACAGACTTTAGATGACACAGACTTTCAGAAGCAACAGACTACAAACAACTACCTCCTTCACGCTGCAGACCCCTCCGTTTTCTCCAAATATCCCTCCCCACTTCTCTCTGTCTCTCTTACCTCTCCAGTTACCCAGTGGTGTAAGATTGGGGGCCCCGGGCGCATAATTCTGAGCAAGTACAACCAGGACCCCAACCCCAGGAACTGGCTTTTGCAGGGATCTTCATATCCAAAAGAAAACAGAAGAGCAGCCCATCAGGGAGCTGCCACTGCCTGGGCACGTCCTGGAAGGCCCCATCCCCAACTCCTCATCTTTCCGTGTCTGTAAACCACCAGGGGTTTCTGGGGCCTGAAGCCTCACTGGTAGATCCCCAGAAGAGGCTAGCAATTGTGTGATCACCTTCTCAAGGCCCTCCCCAATTCTCTCTGTTTCTCTTACCTGTCAAATTACCCAGTGGTGTAAGGGTGGGGGCTTGGGGCCCATGACCCCGGGCACATAATTCTGAGGGAGCACAACCAGGACCCCAACCCCAGGCACTGGTTATTGCAGGGATCCTCATATCAAAGAGAAAACAGAAGAGCATCCCATCAGGGAGCTGGTAGGCACTGGTAGGCACCCAGAAGACACTGGCAACTGTTTGATTACTGTCTCTAGACCCTGCTTTTCTCCCGTCTCCTCTTCTGCCTTTAAGTCTGGATTTCAGTCTGGTGCATCCTCTTCCTGCTCCCTTAACCCTGTTGCCTCTTCTGCATCTGACACCTCTTCCTCCCAGTCTGCTCCCTCTTCTGCCACTGACCACTCCTTGTCATCCCACCACCAATCCCCTGGCTCTGAGCCTCCTTTCCTTGGGGTGTCCCTTTCAGGTCCCCCAGCAGCTGCTTCCTGCCACTCCTCTGCATCCAACATCCAACCATGCTCAAATCCACTCTATAAACTATGGAAAGGTCCAGTCCGATGTTCTCATGTTGCATTCCCATCCTTCCAGATCATAAGCTCCCATCTCTTCTCACACATGACTTCTCAAATCCATTCCCTTTCTTGGATCTTGACAAAGGCTGGTCTCAAGCAAGCAGATCTATGGTCTCATCTCTTCATAATATATTTATGCAAGTCTGTTTAATGTTGAATTGGCACTGATTCATGATTTCCTACTCGTCCTGTATGTGCAACTAAAATATGGATGCTCTCCATTGTGAACTGAAGCGTTTAACCTCAATTCTCTTTCCACTTAGCTCCACTCATTCCTGCAGAGAATCTCATTCAACAACAGTGCTGGGGGTGAAATTACATTAAATGAATATGGAGAGTTAGCAGCTGGCTTTGATATTACCAACTTGGTCACTTTCCCAAATAATTCCTATGTCAGGGTCAAAGTGGGAAGTTTGGATCCACAGGCCCCTCCGGGCAAAGAGCTCACCATTAATGAAGACAGAATCAAATGGCACAGACGCTTCACTAAGGTATGGAAATAATGGCACAGTCCCTAAAAACCCAGAATTTGTGGTTATCCACAAAATGGGATGTAACAAAAGCACCTCATGCATTATTCATTTTGAAAGTAACTAGCACCTGAAACCACTTCAGACTAGTGATGAGTCAGAATAGAGGAGTGCTCCCAGACCTCTTACTTCAAACGGAATGCAACTCCTACCAGAACAGGTCAGGCAAAGCATTTCTCTCTGAGACAGGATGTGGCCTAACAGGAAACCACAACCCAAAACCCAAAAATCATGGAATGACTTCCTATTGCTGGTTTCTTGTACTGACCCTGCAGGTAGGAGCAGAACCACTATAACGGCTTACGTTTAATTTCTTGTGCCACCACAAAGGAACACCATATGAACTCCTTGAAGCAAATGCCATTAAGTGGTGACTCCATCAAAAGGCCAAGCCAGGGGTGAAATCACACTGAATCAGACTGAATTCTAACACAATTGTAAGGTTGGATGGTTCAGGCATCTTCTTAAGTTTGTATGATGTTTAGAACAGCAGCTTTTTACCCCACTGTATGTGCCACTTGTGTACCTACGGATCATTTCATGCTATTAGTCCTATTTACTATTAAATCACCTGATATTGGATATTTGATAAATTCCTCAAAACAGTATCATAATATTAAACTCTTCCTATCTGTTTGGATAGGTGCCACCGCTTTCTCTATGTAATGCCAACTGCCATCCTGGTTACGGGAAGAAAAAGAAGGAGGGGGAGAAGTTTTGCTGCTATGATTGTGATCCATGTCCAGAAGGAATGATTTCAAATGAGAAAGGTTAGAGATGACATCTTAAGATACTGCAGAACCTCTGGGCTCCTGGCAATTTTGTTGACATTAAACTGCTGCAGGAGAGAAGGCTTAAATTAACAGATGTGTTCTCATTGTTTATAGATAACATCAATATATTTTAATCTTCAAAACATCTTGAAGATTTCTTTTTTAAGTGGAAGCTAATATATTTTACCTCCAACTTCTACAAAATTGGGGTGGAAGTGGTGTTTTCTCCTCTAAGAATCAGGTTGTTTGACAATAGTGTGAAACTATTATCAAACTCGCTTTTCGGAGATCCAAAGATTTCAGCAGTAATGCATTTCTCATTTTGTTGTACTGTTTATGTGGCTCTAAGAAAAAGCAGGGAGACAGTAAAAAAAATGTCACCAATATAGAAAATTCCAGAATTGATACACAAGTTTTATTTTTGATACACCTAGTGCAAAAGCATTTGGGCTTGAAGCTATTATACATTCTGACATAGAAAACACTATGCTAAATGGACTAGTGATGTGGAATTCTTAAGAATACTTTTGCTTACTTCAAATTGTCACACACTGTTTGTGTATTTTCAGACATGGAAACATGTGTCAGTTGCCCAGCAGATCAGTATCCAAACAGCGGCCAGGATCTATGCATTCCTAAGATTCCAAACTTCCTAGCCTTTGATGAAACCTTGGCCATTGTTTCATCTTCCTCTGCACTTTTATTCGCTCTAATTACAATTCTGGTGCTCAGCATCTTCATTAAGCATCGCAATACAGCCATAGTCAAAGCCAACAACCGAAGCCTCACCTATGGTCTCCTTATCTCCCTCCTCTTGTGTTTCCTCTCTTCTTTGCTGTTTATCGGAAAACCTAATATGGTGACTTGCCTTCTCCGACAAACTGCTTTTGGCATTGTCTTCTCTGTGGTTCTCTCCAGCATCTTAGCCAAAACCATATTGGTAGTTTTGGCATTCATGGCTACCAAACCAGGATCCAATATGAGGAAATGGGTAGGCAAAGAACTGGCTTATTCCATTGTCTTTTCATGCTCCATTGTTCAAGTAGGAATCTGTGTCCTCTGGCTGGCAACCTCTCCCCCATTCCCAGATGTGGACATGCACTCAAAGCCTGAAGAAATCATATTTCTTTGTAATGAAGGGTCAGTCTCCATGTTCTATTGTGTTTTGGGCTACATGGGCTTCCTGGCCACTATCAGCTTCACAGTGGCCTTCCTAGCCAGGAAGTTGCCTGACACTTTCAACGAAGCCAAGTTCATCACCTTCAGCATGCTGGTCTTCTGCAGTGTTTGGCTCTCCTTCATTCCAACCTACCTGAGCACCAGAGGAAAATACATGGTGGCTGTGGAGATCTTCTCCATCTTTGCTTCTGGTGCTGGGTTACTGGCTTGCATTTTCACCCCTAAATGCTACATTATTGTGGTGAGGCCAGACCTGAACAACAAAGAGCAGCTAACACAAAGAAAGGTCTAAATGGCAGTGGAATTTGTTGTTCAGTTGGGTCTTAGAATACATGGACTTGGTGGCTGGTATCACTTTCCGAGTCCCTACTCCAGATATGTGTAAAGTTTTCTCCTTAACCTTTTTGTCTGCCAAAGATGTCCCAAAGGCAATGGGTACAGATTTTTCCTCAGGTTCTACTCCCTAAGCCTTTTTCACAATTGACTATTGCTGTAAAGCAGTGGAGGTTTAGGTTCAAAGTTTCCTTCTCCTAGGTGGGCTCCCTTCCTAGGTTTACGAGACCCATCTGCCCCTCATTTCCCTCTACAGCACCTGCAGTAGCCATCTTTTTGAGCATTGGGCCTGCTATTGCTTTCATCCACTCACTCAGTCTGATCCTGTCTTTGCATGCAGAGAAATCCCCCAACTCACTGAGGATTCGAGGCCCATTGGCTGCCCTCACCTGGTTTAGGGAGCCAGTTGTATTTTCTGGGGTGGGGTGTGACTGCTGTTGAATGCTGACAGCTTCTAGGAGCCACAGGTGAGAACTGAGTGCAGGGTGGGGATCAGAGGTAGACAAACTACCCCAGAAGGAGCACGACTTGTTCCCCGCTAGAGTTACTACCCCTCTCTAACACTTCATACACCCCTGTCATGTATTACTGTATATTTAAAGCAAGTGGAATCTTAATAGCAAAACTCTCAGCCTCTTCATTTAGAAATGGTTAAGTTCAGTTGATCAATGTTCTACATGTACTGTATGAATGATTGTTAATAAAAAGTCTCTTATCAATTACTTCATGGAATCTGCAAATTCATCTTGAAGACAAAAAAAGAGTACCAGAAACAAAAAACAATGTGAAATGATTGAGGGCTCTGCATTCTTTATCTCTCACCCACAAGGCAGCTGAGGAATAGAAGAAGAAGTTTAAAACAGCCATTTCCCTTGTTTTTTAAATAGTTTTAACAAGGAAAAGTAGCAGAGTTATGCAACCATATCTGGAGGAAAACATATTGGATATTGCTAACACTAATAGGACAAGCCTTTTTTTCTGAATTATACTTCTAACCTGTTTGAAAGAGTGGTGGCAGAGAATATCTCAAATAAGCCAAATGGCTTCAGAGAATACAGATGTGTTGTTTCTAAAGTTGATTCTAATGTCTAGTTATGCTATTTCTGTTATAATATTTTTTATTAATTTTAAATTACCATTCAATCATAGCGTCATTAAAACAATACCAAATTGTAATACTAATACTAAGCACTCAAATACCGAAACAGATAATTTAGGTGCCCCCCCACATGCTAGATGATTTCCTTTATTTCTGCGTTCCAAAATCTTATTAATTTCTATTATATTCCAGTGAAAATAATAATCCCTTATACAACAACTGCAATATTAATAACTTCTATTTGTGTTGACACATTAAATGATTCATAGAACTACAAATGAGGCACTCAAACTGTATCCTTGTTTTTCCAGTGTGTGGCAGTTATTCTGTCCATGGTGTCTCTTCCAATCCTTGTAAAATGTTGTGTCTATTGTGACGGAAAAGTTGCTTCCACAAGTATTTCTTTTTACTTTTTTCTCCTGCCTTAAAGATCAGCAGCCTCTGATTGGCTGTGGCTCCAGGAGGGAGAGTTTAAAGGGAGCAGATTTCAAGGGAGATGGCGTTAGAGTGTGGTTAAGAGGGGAGCTGAGTTGAGGTGGTTGAGGAGGGAGGCTGGAGAGGTTGGAAGTTAGGGAGAGAGGATAGGAGTGTGGAGGAGGGAGAGTTGGTTCTGGAATAAAACATCCACTCCGAGTGTACAGTGAAGCACTGAGTGTAGTATCCTGCAGGGGTAATAGGATCGAATCTTGCTGGGAGACTGAGGGTAAGACAGGAAAAGGAGGAACTGAAAGAGATGTGTCTACTTAGGTCTCAAACTAATCTGGAAGGGAGAGACTTAGAAAGGAACTGAACTATAAAGCCGAAACCTCTGAAAGCAAATTGAAGTAAACTAGCGTATTATTATTTAAGTAACCTAAGTTTCTCTACTTGTATTATAAAACCTTGTTCTAAAAATAAATCTTTATTGATTATCTAAAAACACCTGCTTGAAACTCAACTTCTTAGTTATCCCCCTCACAAAGATTCCCCCCCCCAGGATATTCTGGGATCCTTAGTTTTGTTTTTAAGCCTTCGGGTCAAAGGTTGTTCGGTGAGGTGGGGGCAATATATTTAAGTGAGCGCAGGCACATGGGCGTGAGCGGTGACTGAGCCGCTGAGCTTGTCACATCTATCTTTTCCAATTCAGTTAATGTGATGGCAAACCATATCTGATCAGTGTTACATAGGTGGTAGAGTTACAGATGGGTAGCCGTGTTGGTCTGCCATAGTCAAAATAAAAAAATCCTTCCTGTAGCACCTTAAAGACCAACTAAGTTAGTTCTTGGTATAAGCTTTCGTGTGCATGCACACTTCTTCAGATACACTGAAACAGAAGTTGCCAGATCCTTCTATATATAGAGAAGGTGGGGAGGGGTATTACTCAGAAGGGTGGTGGGAATCGGAGATTGGCAGATAGCTGAGATGAGCCTGATGAGCCTGTTGACGACTCTTAACGACTGTAGTAGGTCTTACAGGAAAATTTAATTGCTCATCGTCTAACATTGTGTATGCCATCAAATGCCAACAGTGTCCTTCAGCTCTCTATATTGGACAAACAGGCCAAACCTTACGCCAAAGAATAAACGGACATAAATCTGACATCAAGAATCACAAGACAGAGAAACCAGTAGGAGAACACTTCAATCTCCCAGGACATTCTATACAAGATCTCAAAGTAGCTGTTTTACTACAAAGGAATTTCAGAAATAGACTGGAAAGAGAAGCTGCTGAATTGCAACTCATTACCAAACTTAAAACAATGGAGACACCTGGTCTGAACAGAGACATTGGATTCTTATCTCATTATACATGACTAAGCCACTTCTCACCTTCTCACCCCTTGCCTTTTCCTGTAAGACCTACTACAGTCGTTAAGAGTCGTCAACAGGCTCATCAGGCTCATCTCAGCTATCTGCCAATCTCCGATTCCCACCACCCTTCTGAGTAATACCCCTCCCCACCTTCTCTATATATAGAAGGATCTGGCAACTTCTGTTTCAGTGTATCTGAAGAAGTGTGCATGCACACGAAAGCTTATACCAAGAACTAACTTAGTTGGTCTTTAAGGTGCTACAGGAAGGATTTTTTTATTTTGATAGGTGGTAGAGTGAAGGATGCCCCAGTACTAACAAATTAGGAAGCGGGGAAAGGATGGGGCCAGCTCAACTCTAAACATCCTGCTGACCTTGTACGTTCATTCCTTGCCTATGATTTTGTGATGTTACAAATATAATTACATTGGAAGATTGACTTCTTGTCTACCTGCTGCAGTAATAGATGCTTTTGGATTCACTATCTGCAGTCCGGATTCAGAGCGTTCCTCCTAGGCTGGAAAAAATGGTGAACACTGCTTTTTTACTGGAAGCCAGATCACAGGACAAAGCGATGCAGTGACTTTTGGAAACTGTGGGATAACCGCTTCTCCCAGGGCATGATGGGGACCATCATCAGTTGCAGGAATGAAGGATACAGCACCATATATGGACAGGAAAACATCATGGGGGGGGGAATTGTCACACACAGAAAAGAATAAGGATTGCACTTGGAGTTCCTCACTTTAAACTTTATAAATTACCTAATATACCAACACAAATAGAAATCACAAGACTGTAGCTGTTATCTAAGAGATTATTATGTGTGCACGGAATGCAATGGAAATTATAACATAGTGGAACACATAAATGAAGAATGAAGCTATCATTTCTAGCATGCATGGGGGCCAGTTTAATGAAATTAAATAATTGGACATTTGAATAATTGGCATTTATAATTGCATTAATTAAATAAAATTGGTATTCTTATAACGAGGTCGTTATTGGAGCAATAATGGTAAATCAATAAGTAAATATATTTTAAATATAATAATAGTAATATTTTGGAAGTTCCCCTACTGCTGATGTGCCATAGAATCCAAAAACACTGCACAAGTGATTCTCTCCCCTATCATTACTCAAATTACAATAATCAATCTACCTGACTGAAACTCCAAATGCCACAGTGGAAAAAAAGAATGAACAAGCAAGCCTGAAATGATTATAAGCTCCTCTGTGCTCCATAGACAACTAGGCTGGGCTCTGTTACTTATCAGTTATCAGTTTCCCTCTTTCATATCAAACCACTGCATCTTATTTGGTATCCAAGGCATTCTGTTGTGACAATGTTCAAGCTAACAATAAGGTGGATACGTGTCCCTTACAGTGCCAAATTGACAGAGTCAGCTGCCACCCAATTTGTCTTGTTCAGGTCAGGTGGAGGAGAGGAATAACACTGTAGAGAGAAGCAGGGGAGTCCATGTACACAAGGGAATTTGCCATCAGGATGTTGCTCCTGCTGCTTCTGCTGCTTCCTAATATACTGTCCCAAGGACAAAGTGCTAAATGCGCAACAAATCATCCTGTTCATGTTCCACACGAGTGGTATGAGCCAGGAGACCTGGTCATTGGTGCAATGGCGTCTCATATTTATTACATAGTCCGCAAGGTTTCCTTCAAGAAACACCCTTCCCAAGACTTCATTGATGCCCCACTGTAAGTAACCATTAATTAATATTATTTTAATTATTCCTTATATGTTGTATCTGACTGAATATAACTTTGATTGATTTAAAGGGGGAATTGCTTTAGAACTTTATTTTTTTAAATGTGTGGATAGATGTTATTCGAAATCTCTGTGCATATAGACTATGTGCATATTGTCAGTGAAGAATAAGCTTTTTAAAAACACCAAATCTATAACGACAGAAAGAAAAGAGAGAAGGAGAAAAAGAAAAGAGATGGCATTAAAAATAGGAAAAGCATATAGCCAGATAGTATAGTAGTCAAAGTTTTGATGATACCCAAATTTTCAAGGTGGCGAAAACAACCATGGGTTGCTGAAGATATAAAGAAATATGCAACAGCTTTTTTAATTACACAGTATTCTTAGATTGCCCAAATAAGTAAATAAACTTTGCTGGCTTCATCCTCTCTTTATAGGGAGGCAGGTGAATCTCTCCTATCTAGATTCTGTGCGCTGTTTAATTTTCCCATCAAACCGAAACCTCACTTCATTTGCAGGGTTTTGACAAAGTTCTACCAGCAAATCCTGGCCTTGGTGTTTGCTGTTGATGAGATCAACGAGAATCCCAGGATGTTGCCCAATGTCTCTCTCGGCTTCCACATCTATGATAGCTATTATGATTCAAAGATGACCTACAGAAATACTCTGGACCTGCTCTTTAAATCACGTCACTTTGTTCCCAACTACAGGTGTGGCATCCAGAAAAATGTCATAGGAGCCATTGGGGGACTCAGCTCTGATACCTCCTGGTGCATGGCAAACCTCTTAGGTCTTTTCAAGATTCCACAGGTAGAATATGGATTTTGAAAAACAGAGATGTCATGCTTTCCTTGCATTAGGAATCTACTGATTCATAAATATGGAGTGGGGAAATAGACAAAGTAAAAGGGCCATAATATGCATAACCAACAATGTGTGTAAGAAGGGCAGTTTGTGTTTAATAGATGTAATAGAAGATTTCTGTAAAGCTGCCAGGTTTGTAAAGGAGGCACCTAGACTGGTTCATATACAACAATCCTGAACGCACTGCACTGGCTTCCTGTGAGCTACTGAATATAGGACATTGACATTGGCTTCATAGGCAAAAATAGCTGAGAACACATTAACTAAAAATATTCTTCCCCTTAAAAATCAAGATATCCCTTTCGTAAAGTATGATGTTAATCAACATTGTTCACTTTCAGAGGCTAATTGAAAAAGTGTTTTCTTGCTTTGTTCTGGCATTTGTCATGTGTCATTTCAGAGCATTATATAGTGGTGTCAGCATTCTGCTATTCTGCTACATTGTAGTATTTCATTTTAGTTGTTTTAAATAGTGCTGGTACAGTATTTTATATTTTACTGATATTTTATATGATTTGGTTTATAGTGCTCAGAGAAGAATAGAATATAGAATCTAATGGAGATCTTCAGGATTTCCCAGGAAATCTTCCTTAGAGAGTTCTTAGTAGGTAAAGAAACAACCGCTCCCTACAATCATTACAAAGTTTACAGATCAAAAGTACATGGTCAACAATTTCTATCACTCCACTTCCATCTTGGAATTTTGCTTAATCATCCACTTAGTATATTAACATGAGCCATTATAAATGCTCTCCTATTCTTCTTTTTTAAAAAAATAATATTTATTAAATTTTCCACTTTAACAATCCAATAAAATCATATTAAATATTCCAAATTATACATATTATTCAACCATCAAACAGTCCAAATATTAGGCAAAATAATAAAAAAAATTGGAGGTATCTTCCCATGTTTTGAGGTCGGGGGTGGTTCTGATCATCTCATACTTCTGCTGCTTTCATAATTTTCACGATAGTTCCCATAAATCATTCCGATGTTAATACTTATTACATTTCACAGCCTCTGAACAAGCGAGATAAAACAAAACAATATATTCTGTGTGGAATTTACATCCCGAGTTCCCTCTGTATGTTCACGATGTCTCTTCACAAAATGATGTTTCCACCAAGCCAGTCCAAAAATCTTCTCAACTTGGGCAGCAGCCAAGTCAGTCCAGATAAAATCAAAGCAAGGCATCTGCCCAAAGCTTTTAAGACCAGCTGTCCTTCAAATGGTTAACCTGTCCAGGGAAGGTTTTGCCATATAAAACTGGGAATGCAAATATTAAGTAAGATATTAAAAGGCTCTGCATTTAATTTGACAAGCTGATCTACTTTCAGTCTTGGCCGCTCGTTTAATTGGAGCTGCATCATTCCGATTCTAATTCTAGGCAAACTTCCTAAGTTTTTTTTGGCATCTCTCCAGTCATTCTCCAAATCAAAGTTGGGAAACTCTTTATCCTCTTCCAAATATATCTGCAGCCGAATACTTTGAACTTGGTTTTCCACCTTTGAATAATTGTTATTTCCACACAGTTAATGACTATTAGAATCATATTATATCACCAAATAAACCACCTCTCCAGTCTCGCTTGCTATAAATAATCAGGCAGTTGGTTCGTTCAGAGGAGGATTTTGCCATATAGCATAGCAAAACAAAATATTATAACAAAGGAGGCTCAACCCCCCCCCCATACACACTTTCAGTTCCAACATACCAAGTCTACATAGATGTTTATCCTTTTTCCGTTCAAATCCTTTTTAGCACCTCAGTGGCTGAATTAACTAGCAGAGTAGTTTCTCCCCCTTCGCTCAGATCATGTCCAAAACGTAAATCCAGTTTTTCATCTTAAGAACTAGAAGCTTGCTGCTAATTGGAGGTGACTTTGGAGAGTTGCCAAGAAACGTTCCAGGCTTTCCACCCAGCTGCCCCCAGCCCCTCCTTCTAAATTTGAGGCCAGGTGTTGGGAGATCTGTGGATGAGCTGCCACTCCTCAGCCTCTGATTCCGGAACATACAGCGGTGATGGAATTCAGCAATCCTCCATCGCAGCTCGCCGGAGGCTCCTCCCCCAAATGCTCCCCTATTCTTCGATACAATCAATATGTACAAGAATGAAGCTGTGATGATGCCATAATAATAATAAATATCAACAGAAAACATTGAGCAAGGTTATCTGTGTTTTCCTATGTAAGCTGGGGTTGGTGCTGTCCCTAAACTTGGTAAACTTGGGATATAGATTCAATATATATTCAATATTTTAGTGTGTGTGCGTGTACGTGTTTATATTTGAATAAATAGGAATATCATGAGTTCTTGTTTCCACTTGGAAACGTTTGGCTTTTGCTTTTTCCAGATTTCATATGGTTCATTTGAACCAGCCATAAATGATGGAACCAAGTTCCCTTCCTTTTACCGCATGGTCCCCAATGAAGACCTTCAGTATCAGGGAATTATCCAGTTACTTCTGCATTTCAGATGGAAATGGGTTGGGCTCATCACTCCAGCTAATGAAGCTGGGGAACGTTTCTTACAGACAATTGAGCCAATGCTTTTCAAGAATGGAATCTGTTCGGCATTCACAGAAAGCGTCAAACCCAATATACATTATAACAGTAACTTACTAGAAATGCTGGAGGACTCAAGGATTTTGTTACCAACTTTCACAACCAGCAGAGCCAAGGCAATTCTTCTATATGGAGAAAGTAGATCTAGTATATGGTTGTCAAGTGCTTTAAGCATGATGGAGTTTACTCAGCTACTATTTCCTCAAAAGAAGTCACATGAAGGAAAAGTATGGATTACAACTACCCAAATTGATTTCATATTATATAGCCTTCAAAAAAAAATTAATGTTAAAATACGAATGCTCCATGGTGCAATATCCTTTGCAATTCACTCCAAGGAGATTCACAACTTTCAAGACTTTCTTCAGAGTGTATACCCTCATTGGACAGAGACAGATGGTTTTATCCAAGATTTCTGGGAAGATGCATTCAGTTGTTCACTTCCAAATTCCACTCTCTCAGCAACCATGTGTACTGGAGAGGAGATGCTGGAGAGCCTTCCTGCACCATTTTTTGAAATGAGCATGACTGGCCACAGCTACAGTGTTTATAATGCTGTCTATGCTTTGGCACATGCCTTAAATAGCATGCACTTGGCTGCAGTCATCTGCAAATGGAGAGGTGCTAGGGGAAGACTCTCTCCTCAATATGTAGAACCTTGGCAGGTATTGTTCTCTGTTACAAAGCATTCACTGCATTGGTAAATTATGATAGTTGGCACTTAATCATCAGTAAATAAAAGAATAAAACTTAAGAAATTAAAAATGAACCTTAAGAAAATTTATGGTATGAAAGATGGGAATTAGAATATTTCCTATAATGATACTAAACAGACTTTAGATGACACAGACTTTCAGAAGCAACAGACTACAAACAACTACCTCCTGTTACGGAAAAGCAGCAATGCGAGAGCGAGCTGCAAGTTGCTGGAATGCAAAACAGGATGTTGATGTTTGGGACTGTACTATTGGAACAAAGGGGCAGTCTATTCACTGTACTGAGCACCGGATGTTAGCTCAGAGTGTCATCTGATCTGTACTGGAAGTACAGGGGTGGAGTTTGATCTCTCTCTACTGTTGGAGACTGGAGAGTGTAGACGTGTTTCTCTGTACTGCTGCAATGACAGAAATAAAGACATGTAAATAGATTTCTGTCTGTCTCTTTCCCCTCCCTGAGGGAAGCAGGGAGGAGGGAGGAATGGTGTGTCCCTCTCACGCTGAGTGGGATCGCTGAATGTGACCTTGCCTGTATCCTGCCAGGAGACGCAGACGGGGAGGTCAACAAGGATCTCAAGCCTAGTGCCTGGAGAGTGGCCAGTTACCTCTGACTGAGGCCTGGGAATCCGACAACTCATTCACACTGGAAACCCCTCCGTTTTCTCCAAATATCCCTCTCCACTTCTCTCTGTCTCTCTTACCTCTCCAGTTACCCAGTGGTGTAAGATTGGGGGCCCCGGGCGCATAATTCTGAGCAAGTACAACCAGGACCCCAACCCCAGGCACTGGCTTTTGCAGGGATCCTAATATCCAAAAGAAAACAAAAGAGCAGCCCATCAGGGAGCTGCCACTGCCTGGACACGTCCTGGAAGGCCCCATCCCCAACTCCTCATCTTTCCCTGTCTGTCAAACACCAGGGGTTTCTGGGCCCTGAAGCCTTGCTGGCTGACCCCCAGAAGAGGCTAGCAATTGTGTGATCGCCATCTCAAGACCCTCCCCAATTCTCTCATTCTCTCTTACCTGTCCAGTTACCCAGTGGTGTAAGGTTGGGGGCCTGAGGCCCATTGGCCTGGGCACATAATTCTAAGGGAGAACAACCAGGACCCCAACACCAGGCACTAGCTATTGCAGGGATCCTCATATCCAAGAGAAAACAGAAGAGCAGCCCACCAGGGAGCTGCCACTACCTGGGCACATCTTGGAAGGCCCTGTCCCCAGCTCCTCATCTTTCCCTGTCCGCCAATCACCAGGGGTTTCTGGCCTCACTGGTAGGTCCCCAGAAGAGGCGAGCAACTGTTTGATCACTGTCTCTAGACCCTGCTTTTCTCCCTTCTCCTCTTCTGCCTTTGAGTCTGGATTTCAGTCTGCCACAGCCTCTTCCTGCTCCCTTAACCCTGTTGCCTTTTCTGCTTCTGACACCTCTTCCTCCCAGTCTGCTCCCTCTTCTGCCACTGACCACTCCTTGTCATCCCAAAACCAATCCCCTGGCTCTGAGCCTCCTTTCCTTGGGGCGTCCCTTGGGGGTTCCCCAGCTGCTGCTCCCTATCACTTCTCTGCATCCAACATCCAACCATGGTCAAATCCACTCTATAATCTATGGAAAGTTCCAGTCCGAGGTTCTCATGTTGCATTCCTATCTTTTGAGAATATAAGCTCCCATCTCTTCTCTTACATGACTTCTCAAATTCCAACCCTTTCTGGGATACAGACAAAGGCTGGTCTCAGGCAAGCAGGTCTATGGTCTCTCCATCTTGATGCAAGTCTGTTGAATGTTGAATTGGCACTGATTCATGATTTCCTACTCCTCCTGTACGTGCAACTAAAATATGGATGCTCTTCGTTGTGAACTGAAGTGTTCAACTTTGATTCTCTTTCCACTTAGCTCCACTCATTCCTGCAGAGAATCTCATTCAACAACAGTGCTGGAGATGAAATTACATTAAATGAATATGGAGAGTTAGCAGCTGGCTTTGATATTACCAACTTGGTCACTTTCCCAAATAATTCCTATGTCAGAGTCAAAGTAGGCAGGTTGGATCCTCAGGCCCCTCCGGGCAAAGAGCTCACCATTAATGAAGACAGAATCAAATGGAACAGACGCTTCACTAAGGTATGGGAATACTGATATCTTCTTAAGTTTGTATGATGCTTAGAACAGCAGCTTTTTACCCCACTGTATGTGCCACTTGTGTACCTACTGATCATTTCATGCTATTAGTCCTCCTATTTACTATTAAATCACCTGATATTGGATATTCGATAAATTCCTCAAAACAGTATCATAATATTAAACTCTTCCTATCTCTTTGGATAGGTGCCACCGCTTTCTCTATGTAATGCCAACTGCCATCCTGGTTACGGGAAGAAAAAGAAGGAGGGGAAGAAGTTTTGCTGCTATGATTGTGATCCATGTCCAGAAGGAATGATTTCAAATGAGAAAGGTTAGAGATGATATCTGAAGATACTGCAGAACCTCTGGCCTCCTGGCAATTTTATTGACATTAAATTGTTGCTGGAGGGAAGGCTTAAATTAACAGATGTGTTCTTCTCATTGTTTATAAATAACATCAATACATTTTAATCTTTAAAACATCTTGAAGATTTCTTTTTTAAGTGGAAGCTAATATATTTTACCTCCAACTTCTACAAAATTGGGGTGGAATAGAAGTGGTGTTTTCTCCTCTAAGAATCAGGTTGTTTGACAATAGTGTGAAACTATTATCAAACTCGCTTTTCTGAGATCCAAAGATTTCAGATGTAATTTATTTCTCATTTTGTTGTACTGTTTATGTGGCTCTAAGAAAAAGCAGGGAGACAGTAAAAAAAAATGTCACCAATATAGAAAATTCCAGAATTGATACACAAGTTTTATTTTTGATACACCTAGTGCAAAAGCATTTGGGGTTGAAGCTCTTATACATTCTGACGTAGAAAACACTATGCTAAATGGACTAGTGATGTGAAATTCTTAAGAATACTTTTGGTTACTTCAAATTGTCACACACTGTTTGTGCATTTTCAGACATGGAAACATGTGTCAGTTGCCCAGCAGATCAGTATCCAAACAGCGGCCAGGATCTTTGCATTCCTAAGATTCCAAACTTCCTAGCCTTTGATGAAACCTTGGCCATTGTTTCATCTTCCTCTGCACTTTTATTCACTCTAATCACAATTCTGGTGCTCAGCATCTTCATTAAGCATCGTAATACAGCCATAGTCAAAGCCAACAACCGAAGCCTCACCTATGGTCTCCTTATCTCCCTCCTCTTGTGTTTCCTCTCTTCTTTGCTGTTTATCGGAAAACCTAATATGGTGACTTGCCTTCTCCGACAAACTGCTTTTGGCATTGTCTTCTCTGTGGCCCTCTCCAGCATCTTAGCCAAAACCATACTGGTGGTTTTGGCATTCATGGCTACCAAACCAGGATCCAATATGAGGAAATGGGTAGGCAAAGAACTGGTTTATTCCATTGTCTTTTCCTGCTCCATTGTTCAAGTAGGAATCTGTGTCCTCTGGCTGGCAACCTCTCCCCCATTCCCAGATGTGGACATGCACTCAATGCCTGAAGAAACCATATTTCTATGTAATGAAGGGTCAGTCTCCATGTTCTATTGTGTTTTGGGCTACATGGGATTACTGGCCACTTTCAGCTTCACGGTGGCCTTCTTAGCCAGGAAGTTGCCTGACAGTTTCAATGAAGCCAAGTTCATCACCTTCAGCATGCTGGTCTTCTGCAGTGTTTGGCTCTCCTTCATTCCAACCTACCTGAGCACCAGAGGAAAATACATGGTGGCTGTGGAGATCTTCTCCATCTTTGCTTCTGGTGCTGGGTTACTGGCTTGCATTTTTTCCCCTAAATGCTACATAATTGTGGTGAGGCCTGACCTGAACAACAAAGAGCAGTTAACACAAAGAAAGGTATAAATGACAGTGGAATTTGTGGTTCTGTTGAGTGTTATGGACTTGGTGGCGGGTATCATTTTCCGAGTTCTTGCTCTGGATCTTTGTAGAGTTTGCTCCTTAACTGTTTTGTCTGCCAAAGATGTCCCAAAGGCAATGGGTTCAGATTTTTCCTCAGGTTCTAGTCCCAAAGCCTTTTTCACAAATGAGTAATGCTGTAAAGCAGTGGAGGTTTAGGTTCAAAATTTCCATTTCCTAGGTGGGCTCCCTTCCTAGGTTTACGAGACCCATCTGCCCCCCATTTCCCTCTAAAGCACCTACAGTAGCCACCTTTTTAAGCATTGGGCCCACTTTTGTTCTTATCTGCTATGTCCTGCCTTTGCATGCAGAGAAATTCCCTAACAGACTGAGGATTTGAGGCCCATTGGCTGCCCTCACCTGGTTTAGGGAGCCAGCCAGTTGTATCTGATTCATGGGATGTTGCTGCTGTTGCAAGCTGACAATTTCTAGGAGCCCCAAGTGAGAACTGAGTGAAGGGGTGGGGATCAGAGGTAGACAAACTACCCCAGAAGGAGCATGACTTGGTCCCCACTAGAGTTACTACCCCTCCCTAACACTCCATACACCCCTGTCATGTATTAAAGGTAAAGGGACCCCTGACCATTAGGTCCAATCATGACCGACTGGGGTTGCGGCGCTCATCTTGCTTTACTGGCCGAGGGAGCCGGCATACAGCTTCCGGGTCATGTTGCCAGCATGACTAACCGCTTCTGGCAAACCAGAGCAGTGCAAGGAAACGGCATTTACCTTTCCACCGGAGCGGTACCTATTTATCTACTTGCACTTTGACATGCTTTCGAACTGCTAGGGTGGCAGGAGCAGGGACCAAGCAATGGGAGCTAACCCCTTCGCGGGGATTCGAACCGCCGATCAGCAAGCCCTAGACTATGTGGTTTAAAACCGCAGTGCCACCTGCGTCCCTTAAACATTGCTGCCTCTCCGCGTCGGGGAATCGAACCCCGGTCTCCCGCGTGACAGGCGGGGATACTTACCACTATACTAACCTGTCATGTCTTACTGTATATTTAAAGCAAATGGAATCTTAATAGCAAAACTCTCAGCCTTTTCATTTAGAAATGGTTAAGTTCAGTTGATCAACGTTCTACATGTACTGTATAAATGATTGTTAATAAAAAGTCTCTTATCAATTACTTCATGGTATCTACAAATTCATCTTGAAGACAAAAAAAGCGTACCAGAAACAAAAAACATTGTGAAATAGTTAAGGGCTCTACATTCTTTATCTCTAACACACAAGGCAGCTGAGGAATAGACGAAGGAGAAGTTTAAAACAGCCATTTCCCTTGGTTTTTTAAAATAATTTTAAGAAAGAAAAGGAGCAGAGATATGCAACAATATCTGGAGGAAAACACATTGGATATTACTAACACTAATAGGACAAACTTTTATTTCTGAATTATACTTCTAACCAGTTTAAAAGAGAGGCGGCAGAGAATATCTCAAGTAAGCCCATTTTTAAGAATACAGATGTGTTGTTTCTAAAGTTGATTCTAAAGTCTATTTCTGTTATAATAATTTTTATTAATTTTCAATTACCATCCAATAATAGCATCATTAAAACAATATCAAATTGTAATACTAATACTAAGCACTCAAATACTGAATCATATAATTTAGGTGCCCCTCCCCACATGCTAGATGATTTCCTTTATTTCTGCATTCCAAAATCTTATTAATTTCTATTATATTCCAGTCAAAATAATAATCCCTTATACAACAACTGCAATATTAATATTTTCTGTTTGTATTGACACATTGATTCATAGAACTGCAAATGAGGCACTCAAACTACATCCTTGTTCTTCCAATGTGTAGCAGATATGCTGTCCATAGTGTTTCTTCCAGTCCATCTAAAATGTTGTGTCTATTGTGACAGAAATGTTAGTTCCACAAGTATTTCTTTTTACTTTTTTCTCCTGCCAGCAAATGGATAAATAACAGCTGCCTCTGACTGGCTGTGGTTCCAGGAGGGAGAGTTTAAAAGGAGCCGATTTCAAGGGAGATGGGGTTAGACTGTGGTTAAGAGTGGGGTTGAGTTGAGGTGGTTGAGGAGGGAGGTTGGGAGTTAGGTAGGGAGATAGGATAGGAGTGTGGAGGACGGAGAGTTGGTTATGGAATAAAACATCCACTCTGAGTGTACAGTGAAGGACTGAGTGTATTGTCCTGCAGGAGTAATAGAACCAAATTTTGCTGGGAGACTGAGGGTAAGACAGGAGAAGAAGGAGCTGAAAGAGATGAGTCCTACTTAGGGGAGAGACTCTTCTGAGGAAAGAAGAGACTTCCAAATCCCAGTGAAGGAAGGGGGGTGAGCCCTTAAGACTATTACTGAAAGTACCTCAGGAGCTGCATTTGTTAAAGGGGTGGGTAAATGAAGGAAAGTACCGCCTTAGAAAGGGACCGAACTATAAAGCCCAAACCTCAGAAACTGAATTGAAGTGAACTAGCATATTATTATTGCTGAAGTGACCTAAGTTTCTTGACTTATATTATACTACCTTGCTTTAAAAAATAAATCGTTATTGTTTATTTAAAGAACACCTGCTTGAGATTCCAGCTTTTTGGTTATCCCCTCACAAAGATCACCCACAGAATATGCTGGGATAGTTAGGTTGTGTTTTTAAGCCTTCGAGTCAAAGGTTGTTGGTGTGGTGGAGCAATATATTAAAGTGAGAGCAGGCACATGGACGTGAGCAGTAACTGAGGCGCCAAGCTTGGCGCATCCACCTTGTCCAAGTTCTTGCTGTTCTCCATCATGCCTTGTGTGCATCTGATATCCCATTGATGCTATAATCCAGTGCCCCTACTTCTTGATAAGGCAAGGATGCTATCCAGAATTGCTGCCACCATTCAGTTAATGTGATGGCAAACCATGTCTGATCAGTGTTACATAGGTGGGAGAGTGAAGGATGCCCCAGTACTAACAAATTTGGAAGTAGGGAAAGGATGGGGCCATTTCAACTCAATCCTGCTGACCTTGTAGGTTCATTCCTTGCCTATGATTTTGTGATATTACACATATAATTACATTGGCAGATCCAGCTTCCTGTCTACCAGCTGCAGTAATAGATGCTTTTGGATTCACTATCTGCGGCCTGGATTCAGACCTTTTCTCCTAGGCTGGAAAAACCCGGTGAACACAGCTTTTTTACTGGAAGCCGAATCACAGGCCAAAGCGATGCAGTGACTTTTGGAAACTGTGGGATAACTGCTTCTCCCAGGGCATGATAGGAAATATCAACAGTTGCAGGAATGAAGGATTCAGCACCATATATGGACAGGAAAACATCATGGGGGGAAATTGTCACACACAGGAAGAAATAAGGATTACACTTAGAGTTCCTCAATTGAAACTTTATAAATTACCTAATATACCAACACAAATAGAAATCAGAAGACTGTAGCTGTTATCTAACAGATTGCTATATGTACATGGAATGCAATGGAAGTTATTAACATAGTGGAACACAGAAATAATGAAGAAGAATGAAGCCATCAAATTTAGCATGCAAGGGGAAACGTTTAATTAAATCATATAATTGACATTTGAATAATTGGCATTCATAATTGCATTAATTAGATAAAATTGGTATTGTTATATTGTGGTCGTTTTGGGACCATATTGGTAAATCAATAAAAATATATATTTAAAAATAATAATAGTTATATTTTGGCAGTTCCTCTACTGCTGATGCGCCATAGAATCCAAAAACACTGCACAAGTGATTCTCTCCCTTATCATTACTCAAATTACAATAATCAAACTACCTGACTGAACCGCCAAATGCCACAGTGTAAAAAAAGAATCAACAAGCAAGCCTGAAATGATTATAAGCTCCTCTGTGCTCCATAGACAACTAGGCAGGGCTTTGTTACTTATCAGTTATCACTTTCCCTCTTCCATATCAAACCACTGCATCTTATTTGGTATCCAAGGCATTCTGTTGTGACAATGTTCAAGCTAACAATAAGGTGGATACATGTCCTTTAAAGTGCCAAATTGAAAGAGTCGGCTCCCACCCAATTTGTCTTGTTCATATCAGGTGGAGGAGAGGAATAACACTGTCGAGAGAAGCAGGGGAGTCCATGCACACAAGGGTATTTGCCATCAGGATGTTCCTCCTGCTGCTTCTGCTGCTCCCCAATATAGTGTCCCAAGGACAAAGTGCTAAATGCACAACAAATAATCCTGTTCATGTTCCACACGAGTGGCATGAGCCAGGTGACCTGGTCATTGGTGCAATGGCATCTCATATCTTTTACATACACCCCAAATTATCCTTCAAGAAACACCCTTCCCAGGACTTCGTGGATGCCCCAATGTAAGTAACTGTTAATTAATATTATTTTAATTATTCCTTATATGCTATATCTGACAGAAAATAACTTTGATTGATTGCTATAGAACTTTAATTTTTAAATGTGTGGAGAGATTTTATTAGAAATCTCTGTACGTATAGGCTATGTGCATACTGTCAATGAACAATAAGCTTTTTTGAGTCTAATTGTGTAAAGACAGATAGAAAAGAGAGTAGGAGAAAGAGAAGAGAGATGGCATAAAAAATAGGAAAAGTATATAGCAAAGTAGTATGGTACTGAAGTTTTTGATGATACCTAAATTTTCAAGGTGGCAAAAACAAACACAGGTTGCTGAAGAGATGAATAAATATGCAACAGCTTTTAAAATTACACGGTATTCTTAGATTGCCCAAATAAGTAAATAAATTTGCTGGCTTCATCCTCTCCTTATATGCAGGCAGGTGAATCTCTCCTATCTAGATTCTGTGCACTGTTTAATTTTCCCATTAAACAAAACCTCACTTCATTTGCAGGGTGTTGACAAAGTTCTACCAGCAAATCCTGGCCTTGGTCTTTGCTGTTGATGAGATCAATGAGAATCCCAGGATGTTGCCCAATGTCTCTCTCGGCTTCCACATCTATGATAGCTATTATGATTCAAAGATGACCTACAGAAACACTCTGGACCTGATCTTTAAATCACGTCACTTTGTTCCCAACTACAGGTGTGGCATCCAGAAAAATGTCATAGGAGTCATTGGGGGACTCAGCTCTGATACCTCCTGGTGCATGGCAAACGTCTTAGGTCTTTCAAGATTCCACAGGTAGAATATGGATTTTGAAAAACAGAGATTTCATGCTTTCCTTGCATTAGGAATCTACTGATTCTTAAATATGGAGTGGGAAAATACACAAAGTAAAAGGGCCATAATATGCATAACCAACAATGTGTTTAAGAAGGGCGATTTGTGTTTAATAGATGTAATAGAAGATTTCTGTAAACCTGCCAGGTTTGTAAAGGAGAAACCTAGACTGGTTCATATACAACAATCCTGAATGAACTGCACTGGCTGCCTGTGAGCTACTGAATATATGACATTGACATTGGCTTCATAGGCAAAAATAACTGAGAACATATTAACTAAAAATGTTCCTCCCCTTAAAAATCAAGATAGTCCTTTCCCAGAGTATGGTGTTAATCAACATTGTTCACTTTCAGAGGCTAATTGAAAAAGTGTTCTCTTATTTTGTTCTGGCATTTGTCATGTGTCATTTCAGAGCGTTATATAGTGGTGTCAGCATTGTGCTATTCTGCTACATTGTAGTATTTCATTTTAGTTGTTTTAAATAGTGCTGATACAGTATTTTACTGATATTTTATATGATTTGGTTTATTGTGCTCAGAGATGAATAGTATTCACAATCTAATGGAGATCTTCTGGATTTCCCAGGAAATCTTCCTGATAGAGTTCTTAGTAGATAGAGAATCAACCGCTCCCTAGAATCATTACAAAGGTTACAAATCAAAAGTACATGATCAACAATTTCTATCACTCCACTTACACCTTGGAGTTTTGCTTAATCATCCACTTACTATATTAACATGAGCCATGATAAATGCTCCCCTATTCTTTTTCTAAAAAAAATATTTATTAAATTTTCCACTTTAACAATCCTATCCAATGATATTAAATATTCCAAATTATACATATTATTCAACAATCAAACAGTCCAAATATTATGCCAAATTATTTTAAAAAATTGGAGGTATCTTCCCATGTTCTGAGGTTGGGGGTGGTTCTGATCATCTCATACTTCTGCTCCTTTCATAATTTTCATGATAGTTCCCATAAATCATTTCTATGTTAATCCTCATTACATTTCACAGCCTCTGAACAAGCAATATAAAACAAAACAATATATTCTTTGTGGAATTTACATCCCGAGTTCCCTCTGTATGTTCACGATGTCTCTGCACAAAATGATGTTTCCGCCAAGCCAGTCCAAAAATCTTCTCACCTTGGGCAGCAGCTAAGTCAGTCCAGATAAAATCAAAGCAAGGCATCTGCCCAATGCTTTAAGACCAGCTGTCCTTCAAATGGTTAACGTGTCCAGGGAAGGTTTTGCCATATAAAACTGGGAATGCAAATATTAAGTAAGATATTAAAAGGCACCTATCCCCCTAAGGCACCGCATTTAATTTGACAAGCTGATCTACTTTCGGTCTTGGCCGCTCGTTTAATTGGAGCTGCATCATTCCGATTCCAATTCTATGCAAATTTCCTAAGTTTTTTTGGTGTCTCGCCAGTCATTCCCCAAATCAAAGTTGGGAAAATCTTTATCCTCTTCCAAATATATCTGCAGCCGAATACTTTGAACTTGGTTTTCCACTTTTGAATAATTGTTATTTCCACAAAATTAATGACTAACTGTTATTGTAAAGGTAAAGGGACCCCTGACCGTTAGGTCCAGTCGCGACCGACTCTGGGGTTGCGGTGCTCATCTCGCTTTACTGTCTGAGGGAGCCGGCGTACAGCTTCTGGGTCATGTGGCCAGCATGACTAAGCCGCTTCTGGCGAACCAGAGCAGAGCACAGAAACACCGTTTACCTTCCCACCATAGCGGTACCTATTTATCTACTTGCACTTTTGACGTGCTTTCAAACTGCTAGGTTGGCAGGAACTGGGACCGAGCAACGGGAGCTCACCCCGTCGTGGGGATTCGAACCGCCGACCTTCTGATCGGCAAGTCCTAGGCTCGGTGTTTTAACCCACAGTGCCACCCAGGTCCCCTAATGACTATTAGACTCATATTATATCACCAAATACACCACCTCCCCAGTCTCGCTTGCTATAAATAATCAGGCAGTTGATTCTTTCAGAGGAGGATTTTGCCATGTAGCATAGCAAAACAAAATATTATAACAAAGGAGGCTCACTCCCCCCCACACACACTTTCAGTTCCAGCATACCAAGTCTACATAGATGTTTATCCTTTTTCCGTTCAAATCCTTTTTAGCACCTCAGTGGCTGAATTAATTAGCAGAGTAGTTTCTCCCCCTTCACTCAGATCATGTTCAAAACTTAAATCCAATTTTTCATCTTAAGAACTGGAAGCTTGCTGCTAAATGGAGGCGACTTAGGAGAGTTACCAAGAAACGATCCAGGCTTTCCATCCAGCCCCCCCCCCCAGCCCCCCTTCCTTCTGAATTTGGGGCCAGGTGTTGGGCGATCTGCGGATGAGCTGCCACTCCCCAGCCTGGGGAATGTAGGGAGTCTGATTACTCCCTTCTCAGCCTCTGATTCCAGAACGTATGGCAGTGATGGAATTCAGCAATCCTCCATCGCAGCTCGCCAGCAGCTCCTCCCCCAAATGCTCCCCTATTATTGGATACAATCAATATGTACAAGAATAAAGCTGTGATGATGCCATAATAATAATAAATATCAACAGAAAACATTGAGCAAGGTTACCTGTGTTTTCCTATGTAAGCTGGGGTTGGTGCTGTCCCTAAACTTGGTAAACTTGGGACATAGATTCAATATATATTCAATATTTTAGTGTGTGTGCGTGCACGTGTTTATATTTGAATAAATAGGAATATCATGAGTTCTTGTTTCCACTTGGAAACGTTTGGCTTTTGCTTTTTCCAGATTTCATATGGCTCATTTGAACCAGCCATAAATGATGGAACCAAGTTCCCTTCCTTTTACCGCATGGTCCCCAATGAAGACCTTCAGTTTCAGGGAATTATCCAGTTACTTCTGCATTTCAGATGGAAATGGGTTGGGCTCATCACTCCAGCTAATGAAGCTGGGGAACGTTTCTTACAGACAATTGAGCCAATGCTTTTCAAGAATGGAATCTGTTCAGCATTCACAGAAAGAGTTAAACCCAATATACATTATAACAGTAACTTACTAAAAATGGTGGACATAAAGGTTTTCTCACCAAGTTTCACAACAAGCAAAGCTAATGTAATTCTTCTACATGGAGGAAGTAGATTTAGTATATGGTTGTCAAGTGCTTTGATCATAATGGAGTTAACTCAGCTACTATTTCCTCAAAAGAAGTCACATGAAGGAAAAGTATGGATTACAACTACCCAAATTGATTTCATATTATATAGCGTTCAAAAAAAAATTAATGTTAATATACGAATGCTCCATGGTGCTATATCCTTTGCCAATTCACTCCAAGGAGATTCACAACTTTAAAGACTTTCTTCAGAGTGTATACCCTCATTGGACAGAGACAGATGGTTTTATCCAAGATTTCTGGGAAGATGCATTCAGTTGTTCACTTCCAAATGCCAATCTATCAACATCCAACGATCACATGTGTACTGGAGAGGAGATGCTGGAAAGCCTTCCTGCACCATTTTTTGAAATGAGCATGACTGGCCACAGCTACAGTATCTATAATGCTGTCTATACTTTGGCACATGCCTTAAATAGAATGCACTTGGCTGCAGTCATCCGCGAAAGAAGAGATGCTGGGGGAAGACTTTCTCCTCAATATGTAGAACCTTGGCAGGTAATGTTCTCTGTTACAAAGCATTCACTTCATTGATACATTATGTGAGATAGCATTTAATCATCAGTAAAGAAATAAAAGAATAAAACTTAAGAAATTAAAAATAAACCTTAAGTAAATTTATTGTTTGAAAGATGGGAATTAGAATATTTCCTATAATGATACTAAACAGACTTTAAATGATACAGACTTTCAGAAGCAACAGACTACCAACAACTACCTCCTTCAGTTTTCTCCAAATATCCCTCCCCAGTTCTCTCTGTCTCTCGTACCTGTCCAGTTACCCAGTGGTGTAAGGTTGGGGGCCTGGGGCGCATGGCCCCAGGTGCATAATTCTAAGGGAGCACAACCAGGACCCCAACCCCAGGCATTGGTTTCTGTGGGGATCCTCATCCTGTCCAAGAGAAAACAGAAGAGCAGTCAGTCAGGGAGCTGCCACTACCTGGGCACATCTTGGAAGGCCTCGTCCCCAACTCCTCATCTTTCCCTGTCTGTCAACCACCAGGGTTTTCTGGGCGCTGAAGCCTCACTGGTAGGTCCCCAGAAGAGGCTAGCAATTGTGTGATCACTGTCTCTAGACCCTGCTTTTCTCCCTTCTCCTCTTCTGGATATCAGTCTGGCACATCCTCTTCCTGCTCCCTTAACCCTGTTGCCCCTTCTGCATCTGACACCTCTTCCTCCCAGCCGGCTCCCTCTTCTCCCACTGACCACTCCTTGTCATCCCACCCCCAATCCCCTGGCTCTGAGCCTCCTTTCCTTGGGGTGTCCCTTGAGGGTTCTCCAGCTGCTGCTCCCTATCACTTCTCTGCATCCAACATCCAACCATGATCAAATCCACTCTATAAACTATGGAAAGGTCCAGTCCCATGTTCTCATGTTGCATTCCTATCCTTTGAGAACATGAGCTGCCATCTCTTCTCTTGCATGACTTCTCAAATTCCTTCCCTTTCTTGGATACATACAAAAGCTGGTCTCAAGCCAGCAGGTGAATGGTCTCATCTCTCCATAATATCTTTATGCAAGTCTGTTGAATGTTGAATTGGCACTGGTTCATGATTCCCTACTCCTTCTGTATGTGCAACTAAAATATGGATGCTCTTTGTTGTGAACTGAAGTGTTTAACTTTGATTCTCTTTCCACTTAGCTCCACTCATTCCTGCAGAGAATCTCATTCAACAACAGTGCTGGGGATGAAATTACATTAAATGAATATGGAGAGTTAGCAGCTGGCTTTGATATTACCAACTTGGTCACTTTCCCAAATAATTCCTATGTCAGAGTCAAAGTGGGCAGGTTGGATCCTCAGGCCCCTCCAGGGAAAGAGCTCACCATTAATGAAGACAGAATCAAATGGAACAGACGCTTCACTAAGGTATGGAAATAATGGCACAGTCCCTGAAAACCCAGAATTTGTGGTTATCCACAAAATGGGATGTAACAAATGCACTTCACACATTATTCATTTTGAAATTCACTAGCACTTGAAACCACTTCAGACTAGTGATGAGTTAGAATCGAGGAGTGCTCCCAGACCTCTTGTTTCAAACGGAATGCAACTCCTCACAGAACAGGTCAGGCATAGGAACCCAAAACATTTCTCTCTGAGACAGGATGTGGCCGAACAGGAAACCACAACCCAAAAGTCATGGAATGATTTCCTAGTCCTAGTTGCTTGTAATGAACCAGCAGGTAGGAGCAGAACCACTATAATGGCTTACCTTTAATTCCTTGTGCCACCACAAAGGAACACCATGTGAACTCCTTGAAGCAAATGCAATTAAGTGGTGACTCCATCAAAAGGCCAAGCCAGGGGTGAAATCACACCGAATTCTAAGACAGCTGAAAGGTTGGATAGTGCAGGCATGAATACTGACATCTTCTTAAGTTTGTATGATGCTTAGAACAGCAGCTTTTTACCACAATGTATGTGCCACTTGTGTACCTACGGATCATTTCATGCTATTAGTCCTCCTATTTACTATTAAATCACCTGATATTGGAAATTTGATAAATTCCTCAAAACAGTATCATAATATTAAAACTCTTCCTATCTCTTTGATAGGAATAATAATATTAAAATAATATTAAAATTCTTCCTATCTCTTTGCATAGGTGCCACCGCTTTCTGTATGTAATGTCAACTGCCATCCTGGTTACGGGAAGAAAAAGAAGGAGGGGGAGAAGTTTTGCTGCTATGATTGTGATCCATGTCCAGAAGGAATGATTTCAAATGAGAAAGGTTAGAGATGACATCTTAAGATACTGCAGAACCTCTGGGCTCCTGGCAATTTTGTTGACATTAAACTGCTGCAGAAGAGAAGGCTTAAATTAACAGATGTGTTCATCTCATTGTTTATAGATAACACCAATATATTTAAATATTTAAAACATCTTGAAGATTTCTTTTTTAAGTGGAAGCTAATATGTTTTCCCTCTAACTTCTACAAAATTAGGGTGGAATAGAAGTGGTGTTTTCTCCTCTAAGAATTAGGTTGTTTGCCAAGGGGGTGAAAGTTTCATTAAACTCGGTTTTCTGAGATCCAAAGATTTCAGCAGTAATGCATTTCTCATTTTGTTGTACTGTTTATATGGCTCTAAGAAAAAGCAGGGGGACAGTAAAAACAGATGTCACACATGTGGAAAATTCCAGAATTGATACACAAGCTTTATTTTTGATACACCTAGTACAAAAGCATTGGGGCTTGAAGCTCTTATACATTCTGACGTAGAAAACACTATGCTAAATGGACTAGTGATGTGAAATTCTTAAGAATACTTTTGGTTACTTTAAATTGCCACACATTACTTCTGTATTTTCAGACATGGAAACATGTGTCAGTTGCCCAGCAGATCAGTATCCAAACAGCGGCCAGGATCTATGCATTCCTAAGATTCCAAACTTCCTAGCCTTTGATGAAAACTTGGCCATTGTTTCAACTTCCTCTGTGCTTCTATTCTCTCTGATCACGATTCTAGTGCTAGGCATCTTCATTAAGCATCGCAATACAGCCATAGTCAAAGCCAACAACCGAAGCCTCACCTATGGTCTCCTTATCTCCCTCCTCTTGTGTTTCCTCTCTTCTTTGTTGTTTATCGGAAAACCTAATATGGTGACTTGCCTTCTCCGACAAACTGCTTTTGGCATTGTCTTCTCTGTGGCCCTCTCCAGCATCTTAGCCAAAACCATATTGGTGGTTTTGGCATTCATGGCTACCAAACCAGGATCCAGTATGAGGAAATGGGTAGGCAAAGAACTGGCTTATTCCATTGTCTTTTCCTGCTCCATTGTTCAAGTAGGAATCTGTGTCCTCTGGCTGGCAAACTCTCCCCCATTCCCAGATGTGGACATGCACTCAATGACGGAAGAAATCATATTTCTATGTAATGAAGGGTCAGTCTCCATGTTCTATTGTGTTTTGGGCTACATGGGCTTCCTGGCCATTATCAGCTTCACTGTGGCCTTCCTAGCCAGGAAGTTGCCTGACACTTTCAACGAAGCCAAGTTCATCACCTTCAGCATGCTGGTCTTCTGCAGTGTTTGGCTCTCCTTCATTCCAACCTACCTGAGCACCAGTGGAAAATACATGGTGGCTGTGGAGATCTTCTCCATCTTTGCTTCTGGTGCTGGGTTACTGGTTTGCATTTTCACCCCTAAATGCTACATTATTGTGGTGAGGCCTGACCTGAACAACAAAGAGCAGCTAACACAAAGAAAGGTATAAATGACAGAGGAATTTGTGGTTCTGTTGAGTCTTATGGACTTGGTGGCGGGTATCACTTTCCGAGTTCCTGCTCTGGATCTTTGTAGAGTTTGCTCCTTAACTGTTTTGTCTGCCAAAGATGTCATAAAGGCAATGGGTTCAGATTTTTCCTCAGGTTCTAGTCCCAAAGCCTTTTTCACAAATGAGTAATGCTGTAAAGCAGTGGAGGTTTAGGTTCAAAATTTCCATCTCCTAGGTGGGCTCCCTTCCTAGGTTTATGAGACCCATCTGCCTCTCATTTCCCTCTACAGCACCTGCAGTAGCCACCTTTATGAGCACTGGGCCCACTTTTGCTCTCATCTGCTATATCCTCTCTTTGCATGCAGAGAAATTCCCTAACAGACTGAGGATTTGAGGCCCATTGGCTGCCCTCACCTGGTTTAGGGAGCCACTTGAATCTGTTTTGTGGGATGTGGCTGCTGTTTCATGCTGACAACGTCTAGGAGCCACAGGTGAGAACTGAGTGCAGGGTGGGGATCAGTGGTAGACAAACTACCCTAGAAGGAGCACGACTTGGTCCCCGGTAGAGTTACTACCCCTCCCTAACACTCCACACACCCCTGTCGTGTATTAAAGGTAAAGGGACCCCTGACCATTAGGTCCAGTCATGACCGACTCTGGGGTTGCGGCGCTCATCTTGCTTTACTGGCCGAGGGAGACGGCATACAGCTTCCGGGTCATGTTGCCAGCATGACTAACCGCTTCTGGCAAACCAGAGCAGTGCACGGAAACGGCGTTTACCTTTCCGCCAGAGGGGTGCCTATTTATCTACTTGCACTTTGACGTGCTTTTGAACTGCTAGGTTGGCAGGAGCAGGGACGGAGCAATGGGAGCTCACCCCGTCGCGAGGATTCGAACCGCCGACCTTCTGATCAGCAAGCCCTAGTCTCTGTGGTTTAACCCACAGCGCCACCTGCGTCTCTTAAACATTGCTGCCTCTCCCCGTTGGGGAATCGAACCCCGGTCTCCCGCGTGACAGGCGGGGATACTTACCACTATACTAACCTGTCATGTCTTACTGTATATTTAAAGCAAATGGAATCTTAATAGCAAAACTCTCAGCCTTTTCATTTAGAAATGGTTAAGTTCAGTTGATCAACATTCTACATGTACTGTATAAATGATTGTTAATAAAAAGTCTTTTATCAATTACTTCATGGTATCTACAAATTCATCTTGAAGACAAAAAAAGCGTACCAGAAACAAAAAACATTGTGAAATAGTTAAGGGCTCTACATTCTTTATCTCTAACCCACAAGGCAGCTGAGGAATAGAAGAGGAGACGTTTAAAACAGCCATTTCCCTTGTTTTTTAAAATAGTTTTAAGAAAGAAAAGGAGCAGAGATATGCAACAATATCTGGAGGAAAACACATTGGATATTACTAACACTAATAGGACAAACCTTTTATTTCTGAATTATACTTCTAACCAGTTTGAAAGAGTGGTGGCAGAGAATATCTCATGTAAGCCCATTTTTAAGAATACAGATGTGTTGTTTCAAAAGTTGATTCTAAAGTCTATTTCTGTTATACATTTTTTAATTAATTTTCAATTACCATCCAATAATAGCATCATTAAAACAATATCAAATTGTAATACTAATACTAAGCACTCAAATACTGAATCATATAATTTAGGTGCCCCTCCCCATTGCTAGATGATTTCCTTTATTTCTGCATTCCAAAATCTTATTAATTTGTATTATATTCCAGTCAAAATAATAATCCCTTATACAACAACTGCAATATTAATATTTTCTATTTGTACTGACACATTGATTCATAGAACTGCAAATGAGGCACTCAAACTACATCCTTGTTCTTCCAATGTGTAGCAGATATGCTGTCCATAGTGTTTCTTCCAGTCCTTCTAAAATGTTGTGTCTATTGTGACAGAAATGTTAGTTCCACAAGTATTTCTTTTTACTTTTTTCTCCTGCCAGAAGATGGATAAATAACAGCTGCCTCTGATTGGCTGTGGTTCCAGGAGGGATAGTTTAAAAGGAGCCAATTTCAAGGGAGATGGGGTTAGACTGTGGTTAAGAGTGGGGTTGAGTTGAGGTGGTTGAGGAGGGAGGTTGGGAGTTAGGTAGGGATATAGGATAGGAGGGTGGAGGAGGGAGAGTTGGTTCTGGAATAAAACATCCACTCTGAGTGTACAGTGAAGGACTGAGTGTAATGTCCTGCAGGAGTAATAGGACCGGATCTTGCTGGGAGACTGAGGGTGAGACAGGAGAAGGAGGAGCTGAAAGAGATGAGTCTGCTTCGGTCTCAAACTAATCTGGAGGGGAGAGACTCTTCTGAGGAAAGAAGAGACTTCCAAATCCCAGTGAAGGAAGGGGGGTGAGCCCTTAAGACTATTACTGAAAGTACCTCAGGAGCTGCATTTGTTAAAGGGGTGGGTAAATGAAGGAAAGTACCGCCTTAGAAAGGAACCGAACTATAAAGCCCAAACCTCAGAAACTGAATTGAAGTGAACTAGCATATTATTATTGCTGAAGTAACCTAAGTTTCTCGACTTATATTATACTACCTTGCTTTTAAAAATAAATCGTTATTGTTTATTTAAAGAACACCTGCTTGAGACTCCAACTTTTTGGTTATCCCCCTCACAAAGATCCCCCATAGGATATGCTGGGATTGTTAGGGGTGTTTTTTTAAGCCTTCGGGTAAAAAGTTGTTCGGTGTAGTGGGAGCAATATATTAAAGTGAGAGCAGGCACATGGACATGAGCAGTAACTGAGGCGCCAAGCTTGGCGCATCCATCTTTTCCAAGTTCTTGCTGTTCTCCATCACGCCTTGTGTGCATCTGATATCACATTGATGCTATAATCCAGTGCCCCCACTTCTTGATAAAGCAAGGATGCTATCCAGAATTGCTGCCACCATTCAGTTAATGTGATGGCAAACCATGTCTGATCAGTGTTACATAGGTGGGAGAGTGAAGGGTGCACCAGTACTAACAAATGTGGAAGTAGGGAAAGGATGGGGCCATTTCAACTCAATCCTGCTGACCTTGTAGGTTCATTCCTTGCCTATGATTTTGTGATATTACACATATAATTACATTGGCAAATCCAGCTTCCTGTCTACCAGCTGCAGTAATAGATGCTTTTGGATTCACTGGATTCAGACCGTTCCTCCTAGGCTGGAAAAAAAACGGTGAACACAGCTTTTTTACTGAAGCCGAATCACAGGCCAAAGCGATGCAGTGACTTTTGGAAACTGTGGGATAACTGCTTCTCCCAGGGCATGATGGGAAATATCAACAGTTGCAGGAATGAAGGATACAGCACCATATAAGGACGGGAAAACATCATGGGGGGAAATTGTCACACGCAGGAAAAAATAAGGATTACACTTAGAGTTCCTCAATTGAAACTTTATAAATTACCTAATATCCCAACACAAATAGAAATCAGAAGACTGTAGCTGTTATCTAACAGATTGTTATATGTACATGGAATGCAATGGAAGTTATTAACATAGTGGAACACAGAAATAATGAAGAAGAATGAAGCCATCAAATTTAGCATGCAAGGGGAAACGTTTAATTAAATCATATAATTGACATTTGAATAATTGGCATTCATAATTGCATTAATTAGATAAAATTGGTATTGTTATATTGAGGTCGCTATTGGAACAATATTGGTAAATCAATAAATATATATATTTAAAAATTAATAATAGTTATATTTTGGCAGTTCCCCTACTGCTGATGTGCCATAGAATCGAAAAACACTACACAAGTGATTCTCTCCCCTATCATTACTAAAATTACAATAATCAATCCACCTGACTGAACCTCCAAATGCCAGAGTGGGAAAAAAGAATGAACAAGCAAGCCTGAAATGATTATAAGCTCCTCTGTGCTCCATAGACAACTAGGCTGGGCTCTGTTACTTATCAGTTATCAGTTTCCCTCTTTCATATCAAACCACTGCATCTTATTTGGTATCCAAGGCATTCTGTTGTGACAATGTTCAAGCTAACAATAAGGTGGATACATGTCCTTTAAAGTGCCAAACTGACAGAGCTGGCTGCCACCCAATGTGTCTTGTTCATATCAGGTGGAGGAGAGGAATAATACTGTCGAGAGAAGCAGGGGAGTCCATGCAGACAAGTGTATTTGCCATCAGGATGTTGCTCCTGCTGCTTCTGCTGCTCCCCAATATAGTGTCCCAAGGACAAAGTGCTCAATGCACAACTAATAATCCTGTTCATGTTCCACACGAGTGGTATGAGCCAGGTGACCTGGTCATTGGTGCAATGGCATCTCATATTGATTACATAGTCACCAAATTATCCTTCAAGGAACACCCTTCCCAGGACTTCATTGATGCCCCAATGTAAGTAACTGTTAATTAATATTATTTTAATTATTCCTTATATGCTATATCTGCCAAAAAATAACTTTGATAGATTCTATAGAACTTTATTTTTTAAATGTGTGGAGAGATTTTATTAGAAATCTGTACATAAAGGCTATGTGCATATTGTCGATGAACAATAAGCTTTTTTGAGTCTAATTATAGACTCAAATTATAGATAGAAAAGAGAGTAGGAGAAAGAGAAAAGAGATGGCATAAAAAAATAGGAAAAGTATATAGCAAAGTAGTATGGTACTGAAGTTTTTGATGATACCTAAATTTTCAAGGTGGCAAAAACAAACACGGGTTCCTGAAGAGATGAAGAAATATGCAACAGCTTTTAAAATTACACAGTATTCTTAGATTGCCCAAATAAGTAAATAAACTTTGCTGGCTTCATCCTCTCTTTATAGGGAGGTGGGTGAGTCTCTCCTATCTAGATTCTGTGCACTGTTTAATTTTCCCATCAAACAAAACCTCACTTCATTTGCAGGGTGTTGACAAAGTTCTACCAGCAAATCCTTGCTTTGGTCTTTGCTGTTGATGAGATCAACGAGAATCCCAGCATGTTGCCCAATGTCTCTCTCG